TGGTCATGGCCAATGAAGGTCGTTAGGGTTACAGAATGCTATTGGTCAGGGACTTTGAAGATCATTAGGGTTACAGAATGCTATTGGTCAGGGCCTTTGAAGATTGTTAGGGTTAGGGCAGGACATGCAAGGACTGTTACAAGGAGCTACTCCAGGGCTCACGGAGCAAAGCCTGCTAGGGCAGTGCTTGAAAGCAGGTCCTTGCCATTCACAGCACCAGCCAGGCTCTCCTCAAATATACTTCTGATGGAAGTCGCTAAAGGCCACACCTCACATAAGGCATGTGGGCTTTGGACCACACATTGCTGCATTTCTGCTGCAGAGTATAACGTGCTAAGGATAGGGAGAAGTATCGCTAGCCCAGCCTGAGGGGGGCAGAGAGAGCAGGGCCCAGCCGCTTGTTTTCGCTCAGAGACGCTGTCTGTGGTAAAATGGGAGCTCAGCCAGGGAGGGGGGGCACGAGGGGATCCAACCACCTTTCCCAGGGCAACCTACCCCCCCACCCCAGCAGTCTCTTTACTGTAGACAGACAGTCTGAGGTCTGGAACATGCATTTGCTGATCCGTGTATGTAGGATGCATTGGCACTAAGGAGTAGCGCTGCTTAGGGAAGACCACCCACAGGGAAACACATGAACTGTTGGGCCCCCTACCACCACACAGGCCTGCACTGCCCCACCACACAGGCCTGCACTGCCCCACCACACAGGCCTGCACTGCCCCACCACACAGGCCTGCACTGCCCCACCACACAGGCCTGCATTGCCCCACCACACAGGCCTGCACTGCCCCACTACACAGGCCTGCATTGCCCCACCACACAGGCCTGCACTGCCCCACCACACAGGCCTGCACTGCCCCACCACTCAGGCCTGCACTGCCCCACCACTCAGGCCTGCACTGCCCCACCACACAGGCCTGCCGTGTGATGTATGTGATGTGTCTTCCTCGCCATGCCAGCAGGAACACCACAAGCGAGTAGCGAAAGCATCAACAAGCCTTCGTGCGCACATCCGAAGCTCCCCAACTGGACCCAGGCACCCCCCACGCCAGGATACCATGCCACTCACCACGTTCCAGAACAGAGGATTGAAAATGATGATGAGGACGGCACCCCAGAATCGGCTGTCTGAGAGGTCCACGAATTGGAGCACGTGTACCATTGCTGAGATGTCAATCTAAAAAAAAAAAAGAAGAAAGAGAGAGCGAGACAAAGAGAGAGAAAGAGAGAGAGCGATCGACATTTACACTATATTATATACATATTTAACAGATGCATTTATCCTATGTGACACACAAAGCAGTATCAGCCAGTCCCTGGAATTTACAGGGTTAAGGGCCTTACTCAGGGGCCAATGGGGGACATGTGACAAGTAAATAGCGTGAGTGAGAGAGAGAGAGAGAGAGAGAGAGCGCAAATACGCAAAAGTGCAAAGGGCACCATAGTAGACAGATCAAAAGAAATGCCGTTCCATCGCCTTCAGCTTCGAACCTGCAACCTTTCTGTCCATTTCCCCCCGTAACGCCACCTAGTGTTAACTTCAGGCTGCTGGCTGCCCTACGCTCTCAGGCTAAGCGCTAAGACAGCAAACCTCGGCAAAGGGACAGAAGCTATGCCGCTCATTTCTGCACGTCAGCTTCCCATCACATTTCCAAACTGCTGCTGCTTCGTGGTGGTTAGATAACAGAGGACAGTGACGCATCCACACCTACAACACAGCTCAGAAACAAGGCTTCCTTTCAAAGTCTCTCGGCCTGGATACTGTTTATGAAACGCCAGAATGGGTCCAAGTGTGTTCATAGCTCTGAGGTACAGGAGAGGTCATTAGCACACAAAAACTGCAAGGAAATTTTAAAACCCTCACATATAACTGCAGTCTTTGTTTTCTGAAAGTGTCTTGTTTTGAGCCACACTTGATTAACCCAAATCTTGAGCAGTTCCAAGCCTCAGCCTCACTCATTAACCCTTTAGTTTGCATTACCTGTCCACACGATGTGCAAGATGCCAACTTCAAACAGACTAATCGCTACCTGTACCGTTGCCATAGTTTCGGGCTCTAGAATCAGGCATCCTTCAGAAGTTTCAACATTTAAGTCCTTAAATATTCTCTCTGCATTTCCAAAAGCTCAGTAAATCCCCAGCCCCCGGTCTTAAAAAGGCTTACATAGATATCCATGGAATCAAATGCATATCAGTTATCTTCATGGCAAAACATGGTCAAAATTGAGAGGAAGTAAAGCGTAGGTGTGTATAAATTGCTGAATTTGCTTGCGCGATAAGAATGGCACCCGCCAGCTAGTCAAATTGCATAATGCATCATAATAAAATGCCAAATTTCACAGTCCACTGACACCAAACAATAGGAATCCCATCATCCATCAACTCTCAACGACCTCTTTCTGAAATAATGTCCATACATTATCTGTCGGGGTCGTCTTTATTTGCCTTTTTTGGAAATGCTTGCCTACTTCTGCAAGAGTTAGTCACACTTCATTGTTCACGTGGTACAAATCGATTTCCACAGTAAATCTCGTTAACTGTTAAACCCACAGGCATGAGCTCCTCCGTGGCTTGGAACAGAGCGCACGATTCAACCCCTCTTATTCCTCCAACAGATTCTCTTTTACCGGCATTTAACAGTTAAACACGGCTACAACTGGACTGAACGTCACCATTGCAAACACTGGGAGACGAAGAGTGCGCACGCAACACTTACAGCGTGCGGATCAGAGAGGCAATGCGCCTGCGCGGCAGCAGAACGCCCCCGCGACGAGGCGTTGGGTTACTGATGCTGCGAGGTCTTTTTCGCCTGCTTATTCATACCTCATTCAGCGTTTAGGATGATTATCAAAATGGGGGTAATCCAGTATAATAACGGTAAAGATACCATCGGCGACAGCGATGCATGACAGATGCGACAAGCGCAATGAAACACTCGCACTGGCAATCGATATTACAGTCCAAAGGTGGAACTGCGTGAACACCACACGAAGAATTAAACTTGTACCTGAGTATAATCCACGTTATTTAGACCGCCACAGCAATCCAACTGGTGCTTTTTCAAAGACGCAGAAGCACCGTTCATTTACGAATGATAACCAGCTACATATACCTTGTGAAACGCATCAAAACTGACGCGCAATACAGTCTACAATGCATTACTACAGAAACTTGATCTACTCATTTTCCTACACCGTGTTCAATCTCACAGTGCCTCGGACGTGACCTTCCACCCTTTGCTGCTGGATAGTGTTGAATTCTGGGTAATGTAGTTTCCTCCATTCTTCCTCAGGCAGTGTTCTGGTTTCCGACTGCGTCTTAAAAATAGTCACGTGTAATTAAAAAGCATTATTTTTACGATGAAAATGTCGAGTCTATCATAATATGAGACATTTTAAATACTTTTCATGATTTTGAAGAAATTTCCCATTCCCAAGAACAAATCAGCCAGTACAAGTACACAAACGAAAAATCACATTTAACATATATTTAGTATTTATATTACATATTTAATATTATAAATATATAATGTATGAGTCCAATAAATATATTTAATACTTATCTATTTAGTATAGATTAATTATATTATATATTATAATTATATATATATAAAAAATTATAACCTACTCATTATATGGTAAGGAATCATTTTAATCACTTCACAAACGTTCAGAACAGCAGGGGTTGAGCATTAAAAGCAAGTTAAGTACCTGGCAAAAGTGGTGGAAGACAAGGGGAGGCAAAGCCAGTCATTGTCATAACACGAATATATTTTAAATAAAGAAAACACGCTCTTGAATCGCAAATGGGCTGCAGCGTTGCCGCATGGAGGTTAGCTTTCATCTGTGACTCAGCTCCGCGCACCTGGCACGGCTAATGCAGCGCGTTATTTAGGTCTAATACTGGAGGGCAGTGCTGCTAGGAACGTGCTGCCTCGTGCGATCACCTGACCATAATGCTTCTGTCACGTGACATTGACCCTCACATTCACGCATGCAAGCAACATAGCGGATAAGGAACAGACACGCTGACTAAAAAGCTGCTGGTTTAAGTCCATGACTGTTCTTCTGTGCTCCTTGACTGACTACTGTATCTACGTTATTTACATATTGTAGCATAAAGGACTGTGTATCTAACTGCATTTCTAACAGACCAAGGCAGTTCAGGAATTGGCCTACTGGTGCCTCATTTAAGATCACTGACCTTGGTGTGGTAGTCTTGAGCTAGCCACAAGAGAGCCACAAGACCATCAATACATGAACAAAATAAATATCCTAGGAACAAATGAGAGTGAGCCGCTGATCTGCAGCTTATCTAAAGCAGGGTTGCCAACTTTGGTCAACTGGCTGCCGTGAGGTTTTCAGCTGGACAGAAGTCTGCACACACATGTACACGCACTTACATGTATGTAACAGATTTAGTACCTTGTAAACGGTTTGCAAACTACCCCAACGCATTTGATGTAGCGAATTTTAGGTTTATAATGGAATAATATACATTTGCCATAAGATTTCTTGCATGAGAGCCAGAAAGCATGAGCCAGATGTGTGAGAGTTGACAACCCTGCTTAAAAATTGGTTAGGAAATCCATTTATATATAGAGAAGGGGCTACTTAGCCCATCTCTCCCTGAAGCTTAGGATCACAGTATAAAGGGCAACTTTTTGAGCAATGTTGCTTGGGAACTTTCTCATTGATAGTGGACCATATATTTCTTTTTGAAAAACTTTAATCAGCAGTGCGCAAGACTTTGCGATCATCGAGATCCACATGAGGTGCCCTTCATCCCACCTGGTCGGTGATTGCCCGGAAACGTTGCTCAAAAAGTGTATCATCACCTTTCGAGTTACCTTTCCAGCCACCACGCCACCTGCAATGTTGTAGAATCAGAAATTCATGAGTCTGGACATGGGCAGCAGGAGGACTAAAATAACACAGCATCTTCATGTCATATTGTGCCTTAAGAAGCACAGGCAGCGAGACTCGGGTTTCTGTAAACAAGTCTGTGCTCCGCATGGTGTCTGCCCCGAGATCCTGCCACCGCCAGCACAACCTTGACCCTGCTTGGTTTCTTACAGCATCACAACCAACAAAAACACTCAGCTGTTCTTTTGTTTTCTTTCTTAAACCCTGTGGGTTTATGAGAAGTTGCTGAAACATGTCACATGCTTATGTTGCTACCCACATGTAAACAACCACATTAAGACAGAAGAGCCCCGATGTGCGTACATCATGAAGAACGAGGACATCAGATATTTTTCGAGATGTTGGATAATCATCATGTTTTTGAGGGCACATTACCTTCGTAAGATTAAATATCCAAGGGCAGCCTGGTCTTCCTAAGCCCTTCCATGTCCACTTGACCCTGGAGCAAATAAACCCTCCATTGTCAATATGAATCAGTGTGGCCATAAATAAGAGTAAAATAAAGTAGAATTCCATGACAAGACTAAGATCTCTTTTGTCTTCCTTCCCTTAAAGCAGTAATCTCTGCAACAGATGTCAGCTGATGTTCACATGGTTTCAGGGACCTCCAAACATTTACATGTGGAGACAGTCATCTTTGATCCTAGAGCTGCCTCCCCAGCCAGGTGCAAATTCAGCTGCAGCTCTGTCTGTTATGCATTTCTATGATATTCAAGTGAATCAATGACTTCAGACTGTTCTTTGTGTGTAAGTGTCCTCAGTTTGGAGCTGTGCCTGAAGCAAGGTGTATACAGGGGCGGGGCTAACAGGGCACAGGCCCCAGCTGAGAGCTGATTGGCCTGTAGAGTGTCCACTCCGTCACTCACCCATTATACCATATTATTAGCTAATCACATGGCTAATCAATGGCCTCACTGTCTGAATTATGGCCCCTCTTAAGCCCCCCCCCAACCTTAAAAAATCCTACAATCGCCCCCCAGGGTTAACAGGTGGTCACTGCAGTGTGTTTCCTTAGCATGGAGGGTGTTTGATATTTTAAGGACATCCAATGGCCCATCAGTGTATAGTAATGCAAAAAAAAAAAAAAACACTTTTTCAAATTAATTTATTATGTTTCCAGGAGGGACAGAGAATGGAAGCACGTGATCAGAGGTGGGTGAAGGTGGGTTTAACAAAATGGTGGCCCAGGTTCAGCTAGCCAGAGATGACCTTCAGCAGAGATGAACCAAGGTAAGGACTGCTCTGTCCCCTACAGTATGTTCGTGTTACTGTACTCCTCAGCTTCCCAGTCTGAAGGCATGACTGTCCTCGGATTGGGGATGGGGGGGGGATGGGGGGCTGGCTGAGGAGGATCTCGCCCATGCCGTAAGCCTGCGGAGCTCAGTGCTGCCCACACATGCTGCGTTCCATTTACCTCGGAGGGCGGAAGTCGGAGCTGGCAATGACATCACACCCGAGTTAACTGCATTCCAGTTCCAGTCCAGTTCGGAAAGTCATTTAGCAATACCAGGGACCTGTTTCAAAAATCAGCATTTCTTGCTTAGTCAAATAACTTGTCAGATTTAAGGTAGCCCAGTTTAAATGGCCATTATCTTCGTTCACTTACATTTACAGACTACCTTAAATGAATTAATTGGTTAATTGTTAGCCATTGTTGGCAACATCAGTTGACAATGACAATATTATAATGACATTACATGGTATTTTGCACATACATTGTAGCAACACAGCTGGATAGCGGTTGGACAGTAAAGTGTGTACGACTGATTTAATGAGCCACAAATTAGACATAAGTGCTAACAAACAGTATTTAACCACAGCTCTCACTTCTGTTGATAAAGGGGGGCAGGCAAATCGAATTCTGAGGTTGGGGTTGCAGAGGTTTCTCTGACTCCACGAGTGGGAATTACGACTTCAAGGGGTGTTCAAGCAGAATTTCCAACTTCTGAGTTCAAACGGAATACAGCAGCAGCAGCCGGGAGAATGATCACTGGTTACTTTGTTCATGTCTGTATAATAATACCATTTGCTCATTGTCCTCTGAATGGTCTTTATATATAGCTTTTTATTTAGCTTCTATTTAGGCATTTTTGTTTCATTTAAAGTTATTTTACCTTTATTTATCAAAATTCTCTTTTTGCACCTTATCAGGAGCTATATGCACATTTCTGCCAGTATAACTGCACTCAGACAAATAAAATGTTGAATCTTGATTAGGCCTTTAAGCCTGGCCTATTTGTCTTTCCAGTATTCTCCATGTGAGCATTTACATTCTTAAAAAACATTTTTTTTTACGTCTCCAAACCAGCATTAAACATCTTTCCCATTCCCTCATGCCAGTTACTACTTTCAAATCCACATAAACTAACAACACCCGCCAGCGACATTAACCCACCAAATGTGGCTAACAGACTGGTTAGGCCATTAAATTCAGCCAGATGTAGATTTTGTGTTGGATATTAAAAACAGTTTTCCTGGAAAATCCATTAATCTCAGCTGAAGCTATTTCTTTCTGGGTTACTTGGAGGGGAATATGATTGAGACTGAGGTGTTGTTAGTTCATTTTAGAGTATTTGTTACAGCTTTGGTACTAAAGTACGGCTTATCTCTGCTGCCATTCAGAACAGAACAAGTTTCCCAGACTCCTTTTTTTTTAATGGCTATGAAATAACTTGAGCGATTATGTCTCCTTATGGTGATAGCATCTTTATGGCCTGTTTAGGTGGTGAGTGGGCCAAGTCTCTGTGCCTGAGCTCAGAAGGTCATTGGTTCAAGCCCCAGCCTCTGCAGCAGTCACATGTCTGGGGCTTGAGCAAGACCCTGCACCTCCAAGCTATGGAGAGCCACAGGGCAAATAAATTAGTATTATTATTATCAGCCGCCACTGGCTATGATTCATACCCACAAATTCATAGGATTCATACCCACAACACAGACAGGGCCAGTGCAGCCAGACGCGGGCATCGCTAAGGAAACTGGGCCAGTGCAGCCAGATGCGGGCATCGCTAAGGAGACTGGGCCAGTGCAGCCAGAAGCGGGCATCGCTAAGGAGACAGGGCCAGTGCAGCCAGACACGGGCATCGCTAAGGAGACTGGGCCAGCACAGCCAGATGTGGGCATCGCTAAGGAGACAGGGCCAGTGCAGCCAGACGCGGACATCACTAAGGAGACTGGGCCAGTACAGCCAGACGCGGGCATCGCTAAGGAGACAGGGTCAGTGCAGCCAGACGCGGGCATCGCTAAGGAGACTGGGCCAGTGCAGCCAGACGCGGGCATCGCTAAGGAGACAGGGCCAGTGCAGCCAGACGCGGGCATCGCTAAGGAGACAGGGCCAGTGCAGCCAGACGCGGGCATCGCTAAGGAGACTGGGCCAGTGCAGCCAGACGCGGGCATCGCTAAGGAGACTGGGCCAGTGGCGGCAGCCGTGTCTGCCTGGATCCCCCTGAGCTCTCCTTCCTGTCTCCCCACTTCGGAATATAACCAGACGGCGCTGCCTTCAGTCTGGAGTTGGCAGCTATACTGTTTTTCATTGAATTTTCTTCAAAACATCCCAAGCAGCACAGGACACAAGGTCTGGGTGCACCCTTGTATTTGAATTTCAATTGTAATTGAAGTCAGCAGCAAAGCCAGTAGCAGAGTGTCACTCCGCAGGAGATGCGTCTGGCAGCCCTTCAATCTGAATTCAGGACATTTTTAGAGAAATCTTATACCTGGCATGTCTTCAAGCTAGTGTGTCTCTGGCAGGAAATAAGCGCGTCTCATTCAGTCAAGCCGCCCCCCACCTCCCAGCCCCCACCACCAGCCACACCTTCTCCTATCTACATGTGTCATCAGCCAGGCAGAGCCGCACCTGCAGGCTGGAGGTTCTGGAGAGGAGTGGGGGGGGGGGTCACATGCACGTGCACCTGCTGCCTGGGGAAGCGATGGCGGCGTCATACTTACGGGGTGGGGCGCTATCGGCAAGGTGCTAATCACAGCATCATAAAACAGAAGCTGGCCCCAGCCCTGGTGCAAACAAGCACATATAAATACACACGATACACACGATATACACGATACACACGGCCTGACGCACATACCTGCACAAGCACATTCTGTCTCACATACAAGGAGCATCGATATGCATGCATAGATCTCACAGTAAACGTGCCACTTTAAACGTCCATTAATTATCCATCCATCCATCCTCTTTACCTGCTTGTCTTATTCAGGGTTGCGGGGGGGTCCAGAGCCTATGGGCAGAAGGCAGGGAACAACCCAGGATGGGGCACCAAGCCAACGCAGGGCACACTCACACACCATTCGCTCACACTCACACACCATTCACTCACACTCACACACCATTCACTCACACTCACACACCATTCACTCACACATGCACACCTATGGGCAATCTGGTAACTCTGGAAATTAGCCTCAGTACGTTTTTGGACTGCGGGGGGGGGGGGCCGGAGCACGCAGAGAAAACACCACCAGGCCACTCCTGTGCATTATTTTTATATCTGCAAATTGCAGTAACATTTTCAGCCACATGGATCCTAGTCTATGGAAGTGTCTGCCGGCATATATGAGACACTCAGATCCAGACTGCAGACCTACCATAAATAAGGCTGCTGTGTTACTCTGCTTGCCGAGATACACAGAGCAGACGTCAGCTGAGCTTATGCCTTAGGCACAGCAGAGGACTGACAGACGCGCTGGTCTGAGGCAGGGCGAGCTTGCAGGAGCCACTGGAATGATGATCCCTGCAGGCATGAAGGAGACAATGACGTCACGAAACACACTCTGCCCTCTGACTGAGTTATTGTTGGCATGGCCTTGGGGCGGGCAGCCAGCTGATCACGGCCTTGGGGTGGCCAGCCAGCTGATCACGGGTACCCAGGGGACTTTTCCAGTTTTGGGTCACTTTTCATATTTTAATTCACTTTTCACATTTTATCTTCCTAGGGTATTTCATGTCAGTTAATGACCGTAATGTTTGATTTTTAGTTAAATGTGTTATGTCACCATGGGCACTATACAGAAATAAATGAGACTGAATGGCAGCATTACGCGGATGCGCGGAAGGGTAACATCAGCACTTAATTTGTAAACTCAGGTCCCTGAGCTCATGAGACCACAGAGACTCCATTAAATGAGAATCCAGTGCAGTCTGACTTTGAATGATGTTACTGTACATACACAGCAATAACGTGCTGTTAATTACTTACACATGCATGCAATTTTTTCAATTGATACCTGTTAGTTACCTCAAACTGTAAGACAGACTTACCTTATTAGATGAGTTTAATGGTCTACATTTTCTTTTAATGATTTTGCTGTAACCTCATCTGTTTAGTGGCGAAAAAGTCCATTTTGGCTCACATTCTCAGCTGAGGTACCTGCTCTCTCCTATCCACCTGCTAGCTAATTCACTGAAAGTATTACTGGTTTTTAAAGCTCCCTAAGGTATTAACATAAAAGGTTACAGCTCCGTCACCAAAAGTCTGACTACAGGCTGCTGAACTGCTCTACTGAGCTTGGCCTTGTGGAAAATACAGCCAAAGCCGCTGTAAATATAGCCAGCTGTGAATTTAGCCAGAGTGCTCCATGGCCGGATAAATAACGCCTAAATGAAGGGCTTCATCCTTTCGCCTTCTTTAACAGAAGCACAGCGTCACTCCTTTATGAAAGTTGACTATAATTTTTTCCGGCCAAAAATGTATACAGCACAAGACGATAATGACAATGCTCTAAAGGACAGCCATGCATTGGAAATGTTAGTGCTTGTGTATCACTGGCATGTAGAGGAAATAGTGTGGAATGCCTGTACCATGGTGGTATGTAGCTTTACCCCCCTATAAATGAATACTAGTTAGTTCAGCGAGTTCTCATTCATTTTCATTTAAATTAATAAAAATAAATTAAATTCCAGTGATACTCTTGGTTGTAGGTAATAAATACAACAGAATGCAATAAAGGAAGCTGCATTGGCCGGGAATCGAACCCGGGCCTCCCGCGTGGCAGGCGAGAATTCTACCACTGAACCACCAATGCAAGACATGTTACACATGCTTTGGCAGGCTCCTGTAAACAACACGCTACTATAGTGCTAAGGAGACCAGGGGTCTGGAGTTTCATTTACTCATGAGAACTACTTATACAAAGAAAAAATCTTGGGAGCTTTGTGTCTGATACAAGATAATATTCGGCCAATGGATGGTGAAGGTTAAATTAATTCTCCATTCACATCCACTCTACAGCATGCCATGACATCATCCTAGACAACAGCACGTGTATATGCAAAATACACACAAAAACATTAAATTAAGTGCCTGCTGTTTCTGGTCCTTATTGGGTCTGTCTTCTGTCACCACACATAATAATACGGGATTTTAGAAGGGAAAAAAATCTAGCCTGCCCTCAACAGAAATGCTGCAAAGTACCTTAATACTGTACTATAATACAAGTTACTGCAATTACTAAAATTCTTACAGTTTAAATTACTGCATTAGTACAATTACAACTACAATAACCAGCGTGTAAATTTTCAGGATAATAAAATGAACTGTATGGGGTAAATACTCTCCAGTCTGTACCTAAACAAGTTCTTACGTTGTTATCGTATACGTGGCGTAAATTCCACATGTGGACATATAAACATTTAAATGATTAATTAAATAAATACCCAGTGTGTAAAGAACTACTGTGCTCCGTCCGTTTTCAATAACATTATCGCAAAATAGCTAAACACGAAGCACTGCAGCGCAGAGCACTGCTTACGGGGCTTGCAGACACAACGCGGCATGCGATGCGCAGCACTGGCCGCTGGGTGCAGAGACTGCAGAATGCAGAGCAACATGGCTCGTTTTCCTTGGCCACGCGGGTATTCGGATATTCGTCACCGCGCGCAGAGGGTTGAACTTTGAGCTCACCGAGTGGTGCGAGCCACTGGAAATAATGGTTTTCCGAGCGCAGCCCTACAGGTGTTCCGTTTTGTGCGAAAGCCCCATAGTCATCCTGTGGCCTGTACTACGAAGCGGGGTTACTGGCTTATCGGGGTAACTTGTCGGATTTAAGGTACCACAGTTTAAATGGACTTCATATTCGTTCACTTACATTTTGCCCAGACTGCCTTAAATACGACAAGTTACCCCGATAAGCCAGTAATCCCGCTTCGTAGTACAGGCCACTGATTGTGAACTTGCTAGTTAGGCTAACAAGCAAAAGGTAGTACACGCACCAGATGTACAATATAACTGAACAATATTGTTTACCTGCAAAAGGGGTTATTATACAGCAATAATTTTAGATGGACAGAAAACGATCCGGTCCGCCTAAATTAAATGCATTTACTTCATATTAAGATTTTCGCCATGGCAATGCTTCAAGGCCACGGTCAAACGACAAAACATAAATACATTTTTTAAAAATCAAATAACGTGTAAATGATCGCAAATACGCGACTCCTACTGCACTTTGCACATATTACTTCCAGTACGCGATTTATAAAGCATACGATGTGATAATATAATATTATTTTGACAACTTTGCGGACTCGCCGTTTGCCCAACCTACCGGCGGCAGTAGTCACTGTTCCGGCTGCGGTTTACCCACAATGCATTTTCCATAGCCTAGAACGAACATGAAATAAAAATCCCTGAACCCATTTATGCAGAACTTCACATTTAATACACAAACTGATTTACCCTGTTACGCGAGCTGCTCATTGGCTCTTTGCAAGCTATTAATGGAAATGCTAACGTTCCTGTAGCATTGTGATGTGGCGATAATGCTAGTGTTCATGTAGCATTGAGTACTGATGGGAAGTTCGATTCGATTTACAAAATCGAATCGAAAGAGGAGGCGGGGGGCACGTTATTTAATTACCGTGGTTTGAATATAAGACACCCCCCCCCCCCGACTCACACTTTTTGGCAACTATTTTTAGAAAAAAAGGTTTTGGAATACCTAATCTTACCTTTATAAAGAACAATTATGTTGACAAACACATATACCAACTTAACCAGCAACCACAGCTTTAAAAGCAACCACACGCAATCATATTACAATAATATTGTACTAAACAGCAAACATTCAAAAGAAATGTATTATGCGGGGGGACGGATCATGAATATTACAAATTTAATAGCCCTTAATGGCGCAGAATGTTTTTCGATGTAGCAGACTCACATGAAGAGGGTAAAAAACCGTACTGCGGAAAAATGTTGAGCCATATTAATAAATTATATGGCAGTTCTTTAAAAATGAATGTTACTGTCTTTATTAATTGCCACTATAGGATTAATACTGGCACGGACAGGGATAAACGCTAAACACACGCGTTTACCGGGCCGCCAGCTCTCACGCATCTGGCGTGACTCTCACGCTTTCAGACTAGGGGCCAAATCTATATTACTGTCAAAACACTCCTATTTGTCGCTATCTATTCCTTTTTTTTCTCTAGACCCTAAATATAAAAAGACACCACTTTTTCAGATGTATTCTAAGAAAAAAAGACCCGTCTTATATTCGGCTCAAAATTGTACTTTTAATGAAATTTCATATTAATTAAAATATCATTTTCATTAAAACATTCATCATCTCAGTCTTGTGAACGTATATTGATCGCCTCAGGTCTAATTAAAATGAAAAACAATCACGTAATCAGGTTTTATATTTTTAAATAAAAACTACAGTCAGCCTGCAAAAGCTTGAGAAAATCTTGATACCTTAAGAAATTTGCAAACATATTGTCCGAAATGTTTTAATCCAAAGTTAAAAAACCAACGCCAAAGCCACAACAAACAGAACACAACAAACGCTGCTGGGATCGGCACATTTAGTAACCGGTTCTTTTAGATTTGGAAACCGATTCGACCGATTTACTGAAAATAACCGGCTCAAAAGTACGATTCGTTGATGAATCAGACATCAGTACCATTGAGATGTAGCGGAAGTGCTAGCGTGGATATGTGGAGGATATAGCTCATATAGCATGGTAGGTTTAATGTATCGTTCCTATAGCATTGTGGCCAAATGTTAGAGCTTTTAAATCATTGTTATGTTCCAGGAAATGCTAACACTGGCGTGGGAGTGTGGAGTAGAAGAGTTACATTTGAGAACTAAAGCATTTCAGCAGAAGCCATTTCATCCCACAATGAGGCACTTAATAAAACAAAATGGCTTTTGAAATTTTCCAGTCCCCTCCTCCGCCTGGTAAAATTCAAGGCCTTGGCTGATTTTTTTATCTCAGTCTAACCCTTGCTGGTCAGACACAGAGTTCAGGATGATGTTTGTTCCATGCCGCAGGAGGACAACAACAGCAAGGGGCCTGGGAGAATAACAAGGGGGGGGGGGGGTATCACGCTGAATGTATGAAAACACAGGGCTTCCAGAAACACTGCCAAAGGAGCCATGTGCACGGAAAGAAGCAGAAAAAAGCACTGTGTGTTTGCTAATGCCCATAACGCACCTCACACCTGTCTGTCTTGGAAAGCACTCTGGCCCCCAGTGAGAGACACTACAGATAAGAGCGACAGGTGCCATGATGTTGTTATTCCTACCCCCTGACCCCCACCCTTCACACCTTTTCCTGTCAGCGATGACATCGGCAGGAGGACGCTCAGCCACCAAAGGCGTGGAATGGGTGGTGTAGAAAGCGAACTCCTATGGGTGTCACATGATGAGGGGCATGGAGGACAGGGGGTATTCAGATGTCCTGTGAAGGGGGAAGATATGTCATGAGGGTTTGTGGATTTATACCTTTTTGTCGGAGGAAGAGCCTGGCAGCTTGTGGGGCCGGCGGCAGCACGTGGGAGGAGGTTTGCCGTGTCCTAAGCGCTGAGTTTGCTTGCTTGGCTACGCTCGCACCTGCCCCCGACGTCTGCAGCTCTCAGCTGCTCCCCTCTTATCTCCTCATGTCATTCTGCTCCAACAAGCACTGTATAAGAGCCTCTTTGTCTATTTTCTGCTAATAAATAATTTTTTTGCGCGGAAATTCAGCATGGCGCTCCGTGTTTAGTCACACTGCCCCACAACATCTGCCGGTTCAAGTGAATCGGAGAGCAAACTGGCCCTCTCATGGTGTCCGCGTGACCAACCAAAACACAAAACATACACCTCACCCCCCACCCCCGCCAGCCATTCTCACGCACTCACACTTTATGAAGCCTTTCAGAAGGACAATGAACTCGAAAGCTGTCAGCCACATTAATATGAAAATGTATGTCCATTAGCATTGATAGAATCAATTAATATAAAGTTAAACAGTATGCACAGTTTGGAGGCTGAGTGATTGTATAGGAGAGGAATACTCTGAGGGACAGGCATCCCATCCAGGGTGTATGTCGGCATGGTGCCCTGTGCTGGCCTGAGCTGCCCTGTGCTGCCCTGTGCTGCCTGGGACCGGCTGCAGGCTCATCAACACCCTGCACTGGACAAATAGTAAGGGAATATGTGGGTAATATCAAATACTAAAGAATGACTTTCCTAATTAAATAAGTGATAAGATCGTTCAGATTCAAACAGCAAACATGCAATGTTTAAAAATGCAGTTCTGCAGAGTGTTAATTCATAAAAACAAAAAAGAAAGTGCAGGCACTTTGAAAAACAATTTTATGAGAAAGTTTTTTTACAGAAGGTTTTATAAGAAGAGGCTTGAATACAGTTTCAGCTTTTTTTTGCCTAATGTGAGCTCTAACATTACAGGGCGTCTGACACAGAGCATGTGACTCAGCATGAAGCCAACGGCAGCCACGGCACCCCTCTTTGAGACATTTTGTGATGCATCTCTATTCCAGGACCTGATGTCTGCAGCTGTGTTTGTAATTAGATTACTTGGATTAAATTCAACTTTATTGTCATTGCACAAAGTACAAGTACTCAGACAGCAAAATGCAGTTTGGCATCTAATCCAAAAGTGCAAAATAGTGCAAAAGCGCTCAAAGGAAGTCTCAGGACGCTCACGTAATTCTGTAATGTCATGAATTTATTGATTTAATAACAAAAGTCCATTGACAAGCAATGTTTAATGTATCTGCACATAACTCTCATACAGACATTTTCTTTTATTAAGTGTTATATTTTTTGACTGACTCATTCAGTTCTGTTCTTGCCATTTTGCTATTAAGTACAGTTGTAGTCACTGGCTCCCAAAGGGATACTAAACACAAATGTTTGGCGTTTTATGTTATTGCAAAGGTGTTACTAACTAAAAGCACCCAGTGAGACAGCTTGTCAATGAACATTTTAATTCAGAATAGCTATTCTAATATGATATATATAACGATTTTGCTTTAAAGCCAATAAATTTGCAACATTGTTGCTGAATTAAGCAAAAGCGTCCCAAGACATTCTGTGAGCACTGCACTGCATTTGTGTGACAAATTGAAAATGTACATCTATACAATGGTATACGTGGTGTACATGGTGTGGTATAGATAATGCATATATACAGCATCTATGGTTGGACAGAAGACTGAGAGTTTCTGTAGATATATATGCCTATAACTGCCAGGGTGTGGAGTTGCTGTAACTGTCCTCTGCTGTAGACTATGCTTAGTGCAGATGCATAACACACTTGATTATGCACATGCATCTGCTCAGACTCCGCCTTCTGACTGACCTTTGGGGTTCAGACAGGTGACACTTCCAGTCATTTATCATTTCCTGACCCGGGGTAGAACGCCATTGCTCCTCTGACGTCCTCACGACACATGGCAGACCACGTGCAGGTCTCTGCAGTGCATGCTGAGGAAATAAGGAATTAAGGAAGCAAGTCACAGGTCACAAAATTGTATAATATCCAGCCTTTCAAATGACTCAGCTGGGTACCGCTCTGTTTGCCTATAGCCACCCATGGCCCCCAGGGTGGTGGGACACATTAATTACGTTTCTGGGCAACAGTTCAATCAGCCAATCACAAACTTCTGAGTAAAGCCAGACATGATCAATGTGATCTCAACAAAATCTGGGCATCACAGTTTTGTAATCGTGCCGGCTTTCCTCTAGAAACTTTCCTTGAGTATTTTGAGGGTGACAGTTCTAGCACAGAAGATCTGCCTGTTAATGGCTATTAAGATGGGCATTGTAGTTCTATATGATTTCTATGTTTGCTTCCCTCTGTTGAATCAGTAGAGAGGCAGATCGATGGCAGAGTATGATGCAATATATTGAAATGAGGAGAGTCCCACAGCAACAATCGTTTAGTTCAATTATATCAATTTAAAGATCTCTCTGACACAGTGCTAAGCCACATGGCTGCCAGACATGTTATGAGATTCCCCGTCCCTCTGACACAGTGCTGAGCTTCATGGTTGCCAGACGTGTCCTGAGATCCCCCCTTTCTCTCCAGCTATATCAAAGATGCTAAAACAGTATTTTTTCCATAATGGTGCTAATCTGGGGCGGTGACCTGATGGTACCCGCCTTAATCTTGAGGGGACTGGTCTGGAAAATCTTGCTAAATGGATGGGCTGGCAATCAGGGCTGGGAATCAGCTTAATGAACTCAGTGATCTTTAGATTAGCACTCAGTAGCAGTGATGCACAAGCTGTAATGAGATGGGGGGTGGGGATGAGAGCGGTCCACCCCCACCCTCCTGTGCCCTGTTTACACCTGGCAACATACGCAGACCAGTCCCGGATCCCCTCAGCAGCGAGCTTGGGCAAATGCCAACCAATCACA